ATATATATATATATATATATATATATTAGTGCTGTCAATCGATAAAAATTTTTTACTAATTAATCGCATGTTTTTTCTGAACTTAATCGCGATTAATCCCACCTAACATTAAACTTTTTAAAAATGCTTTTATATTGCAATAATTTCACATTTAATCTTCAAATTAATTATTTGATTTATTATTATTAATTTTGCGATGATTGCGATTAATTATTATTAGACTTTCATAAAATAACTTCTAATTTAAGTGAACTTTAAACAATCTTCACATAAGATAAACCCATTATAACCAATGCCATATTTAGCTACCGTTTGCTGCCACTGCTGAACATGACACAGATCTGACACGCATCGTATTTTCTCTCAACTCTCTTTACCTTTTCTGACCCACTTCAGGTCTTAAAGTCTCTATTAATGAGCTGACGAGTTGAATCGGGTGTGTTAGATGAGTGAGACAGCGTTGCGCTGCTCCAGGACAGTTTTGAAAACCATTTCAGAGTTCTTAAATGTGACTCATATAGCCTAATACGTGCATGCACAGTTTTAAGGCAGCTTTAATCGCCTTCATGACTTAACTGACCACGACATTGCATGCACTTCGTTTCTTTCGCACTTTCATATGAAATGATAAAGGCTACAGTGCGCGCCGGCGCCTTTGTGCGCACAGTTGAAGAGTGCGCGCCGAGTAGCCTACAGTACTGTTTCTGCGCTCGTTTGACTCGCGCCTGGCGTTGAGGTGAAGTGGAGTGTGCGTCTGAAACGTCTACTGTTTGATGTGCTCATAAAGACGTTCTGAGACTAATTAAATTATCAAGAAAAAAGAGACAGAGGCAGCAGTTGTGAGTGGGGCGGCCAACACTAGCCCCACCCCTGCGTTAACTGCGTTAAATATTTTTAACGCGTTAAACTGAAAAAATTCATTGCATGCATTAACGCGCTAATTTTGACACCACTAATATATATATTATACCCTTATTGGGGGCTGAGCCCCCCAAAAATGAAAATCCTAGAATCGCCCCTGGTGCCACCTTAAAAAGAGTGCAATGTATCCAGATCATCCGTCTTACCTTTGTACTCGGGGGTGAACTCCTTCATCTCTGGAGGCAGGGACTCGTAAAAGCGCTGCTCTCGGCTGATGAGCGGCTTGCAGATGGTGTGGTCATCGTAACGCATCATGCTGGTGTGGCCGCCCACCTGGTGAATGAACGGCTCCAGGGGGACCCCGGCGCGGCTGCCCTGCCCCTGGCTGGCGCTGTGCTTGCCCGCCTCCATAGTGTGCGGGACACACATGGCGTTGGAGGGCCGCGCGGAGCTGGGGGCATGGGCTCGGGCGCGCAGGCCTGGCGAGCGCGGGGTGCACGGGGGCGGCTGAGAGCGCACGCTGCCGCCGGGAGGGGGAGGAGCCAGCACGCTGAGCGCTGGGATGAGAAAGAGCGCCGGGAGCGCTGGGGATGATCCTTAATGCTGCCTCCTAGAGGAGAAGGCGAAAGATCACAGTTTAGGCTCTAAGCATTAATAGCGGTTCACTTCCGTGATTTGGTACGATTGCGTTCACATCAGCAGCGAACCGTACCGGAGTTCACTTGAACAGTACCCCAGACCACCCTTTTTAAGCGGACTCTGGTACGGTTCGCTGGTGCACACTCGAGTTCGGAAGACTGCGTTCACATCATCCAAACGAACTCTGACGTCAATCAAACCCGGGTGCGCACCAAAAGTGCTAGTGTGAAAGCACCCTAACAAAACAGAGACTGTGGCTAGTATCATCAAATATGGAAATGCTTGATGTGCAAGAACAAATCTCATTGGTTCCTGTGGAAGATCAAACGCACTTGCATAACACACTAAAACCTTCTGTCTACCATATTTGATGAGCTCTATGTATGCGTGCTGATCAATGTTTACTTGTGAATAAAAAACCCTAAATGAGTAATTTGTTCATCATATAAAACAATCGTGTCTCTTCAGAAGACTTGGATTAAACCACTTGATTCATATGGAATCCTTTCACAATGTCTTTATGAACTTTTTAAAGCATCAACATTTCTGGTGAACGTAGGGGCAGAAATAGCTTATATTTTGAATGTTTCGAACAAAATTTGTATGGGTTTGGAATGATATGAAGGTAGGGCTGAGCAATGTAGTTAAAAATATATATCACTATATTTACCAAATTTGAAATTTTCACAAGAGCGCTCACACAAATACACACACGGGAGCGTTTGAAAACAACCGCCTATTAGCTGTCATACTCATGAGATGAAAAAGAGAGTGAAAATGGCTTGCTTATAAACTAAACTTTTAACATTTATCACTATATCTCATCAGCAGAATTATCATGCCGCTAATATTCAGTTTTGCACAACCTTTCATGAGGGTGAGTAGCTAAATAATGACAGAATTTAAATTTTTGGATGAACTAACAATTCAATAGACAGAAAATAACAGCTTAAATGGTCTGGATATTAATCAAACCGCACACCAGCTAAACAAAACAAACAGAGGTTTATGACCTTCCATTACTGCATCTCGAGAGCGTTTCCCAGAATGCTGTGTCGCCCTACAAACACAGCTGGTATCTGCTGATCTCAGAGCCTTTATTACATTAGCCTGAGTCCCATCAGCTCAAAGACACACAGAGCGGCATCCATCTCTAACAATGCCTTCAATCTAATCCTCATTTTACCCAACATGCACACGTTCGGCTCTCATCAATTAACACAAAAACAGTGTTTCACATGCTCTCAAAATTGAAGCTGTCTTTGAAGTCTTGATGGAATGAGTCTGATGTCTCAGGAAGGCTGAGCTGCCATCGACTGCTTCATTCAGGTTAAAAGATCTTTAATTGAAGTATTGATCCAGCAGTGCCTAAACAAGCATTCCAGGCATTCGCGATAAAGCCCCGCTGGACATGTTTGAGTGTGAATTCCCACTGTCAGCTTTCGCTGCTCTGTAATTTTGGAAGTCAATGCACTCTTGTATTTGGCTGAGCAGCTGTTGGGCGTCTCGCTTAATGTGTTCGAACACAATAATTCTAAATAGTTAAGCTCCAAAGGGGAGAAGAATTTATTGAAGGCAGCAGTGCAGTAGCGATGTTATTGTGTCAACCTTCCAAAAATTTTAACTCACTGAAAATCAATGACAGCATTACCGTGACAGCATAATTATTAAAAAATTACAAACACTATTTACAACTGAACCTCTTAAAACTAGGGATGCACCAATCATAATTTTTCATGCCTCATTTTGATTTGCGATTTTTTTTACAAGCAAATGGACTGATTATTATACGAAATGTATTTGTTAATTACTTGCACGATTACAGGCCGAACTGGTCTAACCTGATAAACAGACTATGGCCGTGTATCCACCAAAGCGTTTTTTCCTGAGGCTAGCATATTTTTTTCAATAGTTTTCAATGGGAGCGCCAAGTTTTTTAAGACGCCAGCAGCACAACAAAGCACTAATGAATGTTCAACTTTGGGCAAAATGCAGCGCTCATCACTGTCAATTTTCAGTCAGCCGTCCAATCACAGTGGAGGAGGGGCGGGGCAAAAACCACACTGACCAACTGTCACATCCTACCAGTACTACGACTGAACGACAATGGAAAAGTTAATATTGATATGAAAAATAATGCATGCATTTAGTTCGTGATGCATCTGCCACATTACTTTACCGCTAAAGCCGCCTATTCTGTATCACAGCAACCCGAGCGTCTCAACTGAAAAAAGAAAAAAAAAACTGCCTCCGTAGCATTTGCAAGCGTTCAAGCTAGGCATTTTCAGAAGAGCACCTGCTGTTTTCAGCTGGCTAAAGGCACTGGCATAAGGAGCCGACTTTCACCCGATCATTTACATGTGTTTTTTTTTGTCAACAAGAACATGTGAAACAATGCAAACACAATGCCAACTCGAGTGTATATGTACGTGCCTTATAGCCCTTTAAATGCTTTTTTCCTGTACTTTTTTTTTGCACAATGTTTAAAGGTGACATATCATGAAAAGAAAGCGAGCGCGTCTGATTTCGCTCCCTTGGTGGTGTGGCAAAGGGATCTCATTATAATTTTACCGCCCCTTAATCTGTAAGTTTCCACCCACGGCTCCGTCATTTTGATTTCACAGGCGACAAAGGTGTACCAGTTCTAATGCCATGGCGATAGTTTGAGCAAAACATGCTAACTGTTATGTCTTTGGCTGCACAGACACGCACAGAACACTATTTAGAGTCCCAGCCTCAGAGGAGACAACAGAGCAGTGGATTTATTGATTTATTTACTGTATATTGCTGCTGCCACACAGATCTAAAATAAACATGCGATTTATTTCCCAGCAGTTTACCTTCACAGACATAACCGACTGTTTTTGTAACTCGTGTTTTTAACGTAAACTTGTGTGTGAATGAGAGCTTAGTTTAGTACTCACATGCTGTGTGGTGGCCGCTTTCTGTCCGTGTGCTTCGGATGTGTGCTCTCAGAAAACTGTATATCAGAAGTTTAAACTCATATGGTAAAACTCGCATGATTTCAGCGCGAAAAACATGATAATCAGAACCAAAACAGATGATTTTAGCAGGTATGAGCTGTAATGGCGCAGCTCTATTCTGGAAAAGGGGGCGGGGAGCAGCAGCTCATTTGCATTTAAAGAGACAGGCCCGAAAAACAGCGTGTTTCTGCTTCCACTCAAAATAGGCATTTTCAAAATGATATAATAACTGATATGTGGAGTCTTTTGAGTTGAAACTTCACAGACACATTCTGGGGACACCAGAGACTTATATTACACATTGTAAAAAGGGGCATAATATGTCTCCTTTAAAGTTTTCAAATGGAAAAAAACACAGGATATAATTTATAAGCTTGTTGTGATAAGATTGTTCGGAAATGGTGAGAAAAATAATGTTTGATTAAAAAAAAGGTCATTCTCATTAAACGTCATTTAAATAAACAAATACTCGAATATTAAATTTTTTATGAGCTCAAATATTCAAATGCAATATTTTTGAAAAATGCGCATCCCTAATATCCGGAACAGAAGATCTTCCAGCTTACAAATAAAAACAGACTATTTGACAAGCAACAGTGACAATTTATTACATAATATTCACAGATGACACAAGTCGTTGGTGGCTATGTGTAAGTGTTGTATCATATGGCCTCTCAAGATGGCGCCGATGATGATGGCGGCCTCCGTGGTGTGCTCTGCAGTTGTTTTTCTATCCAGTTGAAGCCACTAGATGCGGCGCTGCTGCGTTGTTCATTAAAAATATAGCGGAAAAAGAGAACATCAATGTGGAGAAGATCTTGGGTGCGTCTCAATCAGCTCCCTTGTTCAGTAGTATGGGCACTGATCATGGAGTCGCCCATTTTAAGGGCTGTCTCAATCGCGAAATCCTTCCAGTGCACTGGAACGTTCGCTCCCTGAAAAATCCCACAATGCACTGCAAAAACTAGGGAGCATCGGCGCTCACTATGCTCCCTTACCGGAAATAACGTCACATTTCTGAAGCGGGAAACATAAACCACACGAGTCAACGCGATAAATATAATGTTACGCAATAGAAGATTTTAAAAGATGGACCGTTTTTTAGTATATTTCAACATAAACACACATCGCTAGACAGGTAATGAACTCATCTAATTATCATTTATAATTAATATTTGGCTGAAATGTTGTAAGAACATGTAACAGAGCAATGTGTTTAAAGAGAATAAAAATAATATAAAAATTAGATTGGTCCTGCCTGTTGTTTATTAATTCCAGTGATGACGTTCTACTATGTTGTCCGTTGACGTTGTACGTAATCATGTCACTGGAATTTGAGTGATCACTGTCCCAACGTGCAGTGAGTCAGGGAACTTACCAGTGGCCGAATTCGTGTACACGATCTACTGATTAACGAGCTCGAGAGCAAGGGAGCTGATTGAGACGCACTCCTTGTTTACATCAAAACCGAAACCAAGCCGTTCACACAGAACGCATATTTCACGCATTTTCTAGATGGACATCTATTATTGTTGCACTCGCGTCTCGCACAAAAGAGCCGCATGTTTAGAAAGCCATGTAAAATTAATGCAAGTTTAACTTTGAAAAAAACATATATCGAGACTTTATGGCAGGTTTTTCCCCATCCCACTGCACCTCATGTTTTTAAATGAAAAATGTACTCTGGCTTCAAACACTCCACCATCATCCCCATCCCAAAGAAATCCAAAAATACAGCACTAAATGACTATAGGCCTGTGGCTCTAACGTCTTGTCGTCATGAAGTCTCACATACAATTGTCAATTTATATATTGTTATTCCTTATTTACTTGTTCTATTTTTTATTTTTTAAATTCTTTTATTATCTGTGTTTTTGTTCTGTTTTGTTCATTCTGTTGCACTGCGGAAGCTTCTGTCATGAAAACAAATTCCTCGTATGTGAAAACATACCTGGCAATAAAACTCATTCTGATTCTGATATAATCA